CGTAGCTTGAATGGATAGGGCGGCGAACTTCTGAACAAGCAACTAGAGGTTCGACTCCTACCAAAGGCGGCTGTTTTTTTTAATTTTTTTAATTATTTTAAAATACAAAATACTTTCGAAGTTTTATAAAGATTATATACAAACATATGTAACGTAACGATATTATGCACTCACAAAAGAAAAGATTTTAAGAATGCTAAAACTTCATAAAACATTAAAAAAAAAAAAAAACATCACCAGGAGAAAAAATATGTTGCGTATCTATGATAATTGAGACACTTATGTTATTAATGTGCGAATGTATTTAGTCCTAATAAGCTGCGGATGGTCTGAAAAAAAAGTTGTCTGAAACCTAATAAAAAAAAAACTTAACAAGACAGCCCTGCTACTTCATAAGATGCTGCTGTGGAGGCAAAAAAAAAAAAAAACCTGTAGCTAGATAAAACTTTAAAACTTTCTTTTGACAATTAAAAGTTTATTTTGCTACATTAACTTTTTTACTATAAATATATGCAGCAACTGTTTTTCAAAACGCCTTAATATGCTTATGACGTAATTCAAAAAAAACCCAATTAAAAATAAAATTGTTTGGAAAAACTCTTCGTAAAACGTTTTTTGAAACGAATAACTTTTATTTAGTTTTTTTTTTTCTTTTGTGCAACTTTCTTTTCAATAAATTTCTTTACCTTTCAGAATATGACCATTTTTAACAATGCTATAGAAAAAATATCAGTAAATTGATTAGTAGTATTTCAATTATATTAATTAAATTAAATTATATATATTAAATTATATATTATATAAAGATTAAATTAAATAGATAAATAAATTGATATACATTTAATACATGTGTATTTTTTTTTTTGAAAAAACTTAGTGACAAAATAGACTAATTAGATAAGTCGTTAAGTAGAATGCTAAGAATATATTTCTGGCGGTTATTGTTGCTAAGGCTGATTAATAGGCAAATAAATTAAAAGCTAATCAGGGTTTTAAATAAACTATAAACTAATCAGGGAAGTTTTATTTGTAAACCGAATAAATAGGAAAATAGCATATAATTCAGGTAGACATTGTTCTCACCTTTTCGCCAAACTCTGATATCTTTGATATTAAAAAATATGACCCTTCCAATAATTATAGATGGTAGTGTATTAACCTTTTTTTTCGGAACCACAATCCGTAATGATTTCTATTTTATTAATGTGAACGAAAGCCTATTCAAATATCTAAATATGTAAACTTTAAGTTCTTCAACAATCAGTATAATTATAAAGTAGATCACATCAAATTCTACCGATTTATTTTTACTTAATAATTTCATTGCGACATTATCTCTTTATTTTAAAGCATTAAATGTTGTTTTTTAAAGTTTAATAAGTTTTCTGTTTATTAAATAGTGTTAAAAGATGATATAACATTCCACAGCGATTGAAGTGCTTCGCTTCGGTTCAAAACTTTTTGCTTACACAATTTTTTTTTAAAATCCTATCCAGTTTTCTAGAAAACAAAGAAAAACAAGTTTAAATGCATATAGATGTTATACGCATTACATGAAAATAAAGATATAATATACTATAACAAACCAAACGGATAGAATTTTTTAAAACGTTTTTAAAAATTTTTAAAAACATAAAAACGCTGTTGGAAATTTGTTGCGCATATATCATGATAGAGATACTTATGTTTTAGGTAATTTGTTAAAACTGCGAGTTCAACACTCATTAAAGAGATAAATTTCTTTCTTATATATATAAAAAAAAGGTTTTACATGCAATCTGAAATTTTTATTAAAACTAACTGGTCAAGAGTCCTAAAAAGTACGGAAAGATATGAAAAAAGAAATTGTAATCTGAAACCTAAAAAAAAAATTTAGTTACTCCAGAAGGTGACAAACAGAAAACCTTCAAAATTGCGCCTAATCCGCTAATAGAAATGCTCGAATATTAAGATATAAACAAATATTAAATGATTTTTGTATTACGAAACGTACGCCAACTCTTAAACCACTGTAAAACTACTTTGCGGTTATCTAATTAAATCCACCAAATCCGTTAATAAAAACAGCTTAATTAATAGATTCAAAACCATCTGATTTTTGTATTATGATATGTGCGCCAACTGTACTCTAAAACCAATAAAACTCGGCCATGTGGTCTTCATATCGATTATAACAATTGCAAAGCGAGGGACGACAAGTAAGTTGTAACTACAAGTTTAATTATTGTAATCTTCATTTAAAAAGTTAAACTTATTTTATAATTACCATGTTAATATGTTTGAAGTTAATATGTTTTTGACCCAAGAATAAACATTAAGATTATTTTTTAGAAATGAGCAGCCAAGATACAGAAGGTATTCTTTTAGTTTTGTATATCATTAATTAATTAAAGAGATAAAAAGAGATGATACGTCAATAATACTGAGATATTTAGCTTATTATTTTATTAAGAAATTACATTGAGATAATTTTGTATATCTTTAGGCAACGAAGAAGTTTCTGCATTTTTTCGAAGTAAGCCATTTATATATACTATATATAGTAGCAGTTACATATGTTCTAAAAGTGGCGGAACTGTACTTGATTTACGGTGTGAATAAAACGATGATTTAATTTAGCCGTTTTTAATTAAAATCAACCAAGATATGCCGCCCTCCCCTAACCCCGTGAATCAAGTACACCCCCCTAAAATTTAACTAAAATTAAAAAATATATAAATTAAATTTTAGAACTTTAAAAGGGTGGACCCAAAATTTGTTTATTCCGCCATTTTGATTGATGTTTTTGTAAAGCAGTGAACCTTAAAAACGCGTATAAGGTTTTTTAAGCTATAATTTTATAAAACGTGTTTAAGCTAAAATTGACTTTTAAGTCTTCTAACTACTAAACTTTTACGTAAAATGAAACTTTTTGTCATTTACTGAATGTGTTAAATTATAAAACTGTGCAACAGTTTTATAATTTAAGACAAATCTTATATGTTTAATTGAAAAAGTAAATATTTTGAAAATTAATTTTGTCTATATATATATATTAGATGTTCAAGAGATCAGAGCCGAAGAGGTCTTGCCAAGTAAGCTAATTTTGTATGAGAAGAATACGTTACAAAGATATATATTTCACCAATTTCAGCAATTTGTTAATTATAACTTTTTTTTAATGTTTAGCGGAAATAATGGACAAGCTAAGTGAGGAGTTTTGTTGTTGTTTTTTGTTTTTTTTGTGTGCAAATACATTTATGCTTTTTTAGTTTTTTTAAAGTTATTTAGCAACTGACTTTTGTCAGTTGTGACAGTTAGTCAGTCAACAAGTGACTTTTGTAACTTTTAAATTTATTTTATTTAGAAAAATTAGAAGATTCTGTTGAGAACCTAAGTAAGCAATTTGTTATTGTTGTTGTCATGCTCTTTATTTTTTTTATTACATATTTATTTAACATAAAGTTATTCTATATTTGGCAAGTTAGTTTATTTTAATGTTTATAAGTTTTTCATTTTATTTAGAAAAATTAGAACATTCAATGGGTAAACAGAATTTGATTATATTACATTTGTGTATTATAGATAAAGATATAGCATTTTACTTTCAAAAAAAAAGGTGTATTCTATGGTCTTTTAGCTTTTTTGATACAAATTTTAGCATTTTTTTTTATAGGGCTTATATTTCAACAACTTAGTAAGTTACTATATTGTTCTTGTGGATTGTTTCTTTAGTTTATTTTTTATTTTTTTTTGTCGCTTTTTTCTTTTTTGGTTTGTTTTGTTTTGTGATTGTTATTTTTGCCTTTTGTTTTGTTCCAACTTTATTTATAGATTTCCTAAAGTTGACAAATATTCTGCATGTTTAACATGCAGAATATTTGTCAACTTTATTATTTATATTTGTCAAAAACTCATTAACATTAGGAAAGAAACTAACATTGTTTGTTTCTTTCCTAATGTTAATGAGTTTTTTTTTATTCTATTTAGAAAATTTAGAAAATTCAATTGGTAAGCAAAGTAGACTTATGTTTCTTTTTGTTTATTTTTAACACACAATTTTTTGATGTTTGTGTGCGGTTTTATCACTCTAAAATAAACTGTTTAATTGATTAGTTTATGTAAATATATTTTTTACCTCCACTATAGCGTCATCTGCAGTACCATCAGGTAATGTGTTTTGCATTCTTATGCAGTTTTAAGAGTGGTATGTGTGTTAAAACTTAAAGATAGCATATCTTAATTTACAGATTACTTTATTTATTTATTTTTTTGTCTCTACATTAGCACCTCAAGCAATAATATCAGGTAATCTGCTTAGCATACTTATGCAGTTTTATGGGTTTTATGTGTATTTAAACTTAATCATTACTGTTTTCATGCAATTACATAAATGTTTAACATATGTTACTTTATACACTTTTTTTTTTACCTTTACAATAGCACCAATGTCATCATATGCAGTACCATCAGGTAATGTGTTTTGCATACTTATTCAGTTTTATGAGTGTTATGTGTATTGGAACTTTAACATTACTTTTTTCATGTTTGTAAACAATTACATAAATGTATAACATATGTTACTTTATACACTTTTTTTTTTTTAATATTCACAATAGCATCAATATCATCTGCAGTACCATCAGGTAATGTGTTTTGCATACTTATGCAGTTTTATGAGTGTTATGTGTATTAAAACTTAAAGATAGCATATGTTAATTTACAGATTACTTTATTTATTTATTTTTTCTCTACATTAGCACCTCAAGCAATAATATCAGGTAATGTGTTTTGCATACTTATGCAGTTTTATGAGTGTTATGTGTATTGAAATTAAACATTACTTTTTTCATGTTTGTTATCAATTACATAAATGTTTAACATATGTTACTTTATACACTTTTTTTTTTTACTTTCATAGTAGCATCAATATCATCTGCAGTACCATCAGGTAATGATGTAATTTAATGAAAAACTTAAAGATTGCATATCTTATTTTGCACATCACTTTATTTCTTTATTTTTTTGTCTATACATTAACACCTCAAGCAATAATATCAGGTAATCTGTTTAGCATACTTATGCAGTTTTATGAGTTTTATGTGTATTGAAACTTAATTTTTTTTTTTTCATGTTTTCATGCAGTTTCATAAATGTTTAACATATGATACTTTATACACTTTTTTTTTTTTTTTTACTTTCACAATAGCATCAATATCATCTGCAGTGCCATCAGGTAATGTGTTTTGCATACTTATGCAGTTTTATGGGTTTTATGTGTATTGAAATTAAACATTACTTTTTTCATGTTTGTTATCAATTACATAAATGTTTAACATATGTTACTTTATACACTTTTTTTTTTTTTACTTTCACAATAGCATCAATATCACCTGCTGTACCATCAAGTAATGTGTTTTGCATACTTATGCAGTTTTATGGGTTTTATGTGTATTGAAACTTAAACATTACTTTTTTCATATTTGTTATCAATTACATAAATGTTTAAAATATGTTACTTAACACACTTTTTTTTTTTACCTTCACAATAGCATCAATATCATCTGCAGTGCCATCAGGTAATGTGTTTTGCATACTTATGCAGTTTTATGAGTGTTATGTGTATTAAAACTTAAAGATAGCATATGTTAATTTACAGATTACTTTATTTATTTTTTTGTCTCTACATTAGCACCTCAAGCAATAATATCAGGTAATCTGTTTAGCATACTTATGCAGTTTTATGGGTTTTATGTGTATTGAAACTTAGACATTACTGTTTTCATGCAATTACATAAATGTTTAACATATGTTACTTTATACACTTTTTTTTTTTTTTACTTTCACAGTAGCATCAATATCATCTGCAGTACCATCAGGTAATGATGTAATTTAATGAAAAACTTAAAGATTGCATATCTTATTTTGCACATCACTTTATTTCTTTATTTTTTTGTCTATACATTAACACCTCAAGCAATAATATCAGGTAATCTGTTTAGCATACTTATGCAGTTTTATGAGTTTTATGTGTATTGAAACTTAATTTTTTTTAAATGTGTTTTGCATGCTTATGCAGTTTTATGAGTGTTATGTGTATTGGAACTTAAACATTACTTTTTTCGTGTTTGTATGCAATTACATAACTGTTTAATATATGTGTTTGTTTATATACTTTTTTATTTATTTCTGCAATAGCAACAGTATCAACTGCAGTACCACCAGGTAATGTGTTTTCCATACTTATGCAGTTTTTCTGTATTTATGCAGTGTTATGTGTATTGAAACTTAAACATTACTTTTTTCGTGTTTGTATGCAATTACATAACTGTTTAATATATGTGTTTGTTTATATACTTTTTTATTTATTTCTGCAATAGCAACAGTATCAACTGCAGTACCACCAGGTAATGTGTTTTCCATACTTATGCAGTTTTTCCGTATTTATGCAGTGTTATGTGTATTGAAACCTAAACATTACTTTTTTCATGTTTGTATGCAATTACATAACTGTTTAATATATGTGTTTGTTTATATACTTTTTTATTTATTTCTGCAATAGCAACAGTATCAACTGCAGTACCACCAGGTAATGTGTTTTCCATACTTATGCAGTTTTTCCGTATTTTTGCAGTGTTATGTGTATTGAAACCTAAACATTACTTTTTTCATGTTTGTATGCAATTACATAACTGTTTAATATATGTGTTAGTTCATATACTTTTTTATTTATTTCCATAATAGCAACAATATCTGCAGGACCATCAGGTAATCTGTTTTGCATACTTATGCAGTTTTGTGGGTGTTATGTGTATTTGTGTAGGTATATATGAAATTTAAACATTGCATATCTATATTTTTACATTACTTTATTTATTTATTTTTTTTGTCATAAATTTTTTTTTTTTGAAGTCTAAATAGTTTTAGATAATATTTTTATTGGTTGTTTTGTGCAGTATTGTATTCAAATTTATTTCTTTTTTTGTTTTTGTTTTTTAGCATCATATCAAGATTTCCTGCAATATCGCTCCCAGCACCCAGGTCCAATATCTTCAAGAGCTTTTTACCGGTGGAGTCAATATGGGGGAGATGATCCCTCCTTTAGATGGAGGAGAGAAGCCCCATATGACACCACTGGTAGAAGGAGGGGTGCTGGAAAGCGATTTAACTCTTTTAATTTCTACCAGTAGCTTTTTTAAACTACTGGTAGAATTATCTTCTTTTTTATTTATAAAGAAAATTGAATTTTTAAAAAAATGTTTTTTTAATTTCGCAATTTTTTATTATTTTAATTTATATACTTTTACTATTTTATTTTTTTGATTTTTAATTCTGTTTTTAAATCCTAAACTAACAAAGAACTCTTATGTTATAAAAGTTTTTAATAATTTGTCTATAAGTTTTTTTATTAATTTACGTTTTTACATCTTTTTATCCTCATTTTTAATTTTAATAATACTAAATTTTCTTTTGTATTAACTTTTATTTGTTAAGTGTTATATAGTTTTTGAAAGATTGGGTAAATATATTTAAAGTTTTTCTTTTTCTATGATATCTGTTTAATATGTCTAATATATGCACTATACACATATTAATCTCTTTACATTATTCTCTTTAGATATATTATAAAATAGTATTTAAAATCAGTTGTCAGCCACATGTGGTCTATATGATGCAACATGTTTGCAATTGTTGGCATGTCATTTAAAAATATGTAACTAATTTTGCTTTTCAATATTACCATTAATATGACTTTTAAAATAATAAAATTTTTTATTTGTTTCAAAAAATACTGTTTTATTACTTACAATATAGTATGTTATTACAAGATACTTCTGGCTTTTTCTCTGTTTCAAACCAGTTTAGTTATATCTTTTGTTCACAAATTTTATTAGATGCTATACACATAGTTTCATAGGTTTAAACTGATAAATAGCACTTTATTGTTTTTGTTCATTTTAGATTAGTATAGCAAAAAATTATTAAGATAAAGTTTTATCAAACATAAATAATTTCTCAATTATGTCAAGTAACCTAAGAGCTGAAAATAGAAGAAATTGTCGAAATGAAAGAAATGAGGCCAGACGAGAAGAATTTAATCGTCGCCAAAATGAAAGAAATGAGGCTAGGCGAGAAGAAATTAATCGTCGCCAAAATGAAAGGAATGAGGCTAGACGTGAAGAAGTTAATCGTCGCCAAAATGAAAGAAATGAGGCTCGACGAGTATTATTTAGGCGTGAAATGCATTGCATAGCAAGAAATAATGTTTTTATAGAGAGTAATTACCTAGGAGAAATGAACCATAATTGTCAGTATTGTGGTGCTAAAAAATTTTTAAATGAAACACATTTTTTGTGCTGCCATTCGGGAAAGGTTGTCTTACCTCCACTTTCACCTTATCCACCGCTGATGGTTGATTTAATGACAGGCAACCATGTTGATCGTGCTTTGAATCAAAATTTTTTCAAGCATATACGAAATTATAATGCCTGTCTATCTTTTGCTTCATTCATAGCCACAATAGATCCTCCGTCAAATCGTGGTCCACCCTGTTTTAGAATTAGTGGGCAAATTATGCATCGTATTGGTAATCTAAGACATCAGCAAGGGGATCCACCTGCTTATTGTCAATTATATGTTTATGATCCTAATACTGCTTTAAACTTTCGAATGGAGCAAAATGATTGTTGCATACGTGAGTTAATGGAACTTTTGCAGACTATAATTAATCAGGAGAACCCATATGCGCTTGCATTTAAAAACATGGCAGAAGTTGAAGATGCAGAAATTCGTCAAGCTGCTATAGAAGGTCGACCGATTTCTGTTGTCAAAATGTCGTTGCTTGAGGGTTGTGATAGACGTCGATACAATCTTCCATCACATGAAGAGGTTGCCATTGTGTTTGTAGGAAATGATGGTGCTCCACCTCCATCTAGAGAAGTTGTTATTTATCCTCGAGGTCAACCCTTAAAAACAATTTCAAGTATGTCTGCAAATCTAGATCCAATGATATATCCAATATTTTTTCCAAGAGGTGATGCAGGATGGCATGATCAACTAGAGCACAATCCTGACCGAGCAACACGTGTTCGAAATCGTGTTACTTTATCTCAGTACTACAACTATAGGCTTTCTATTAGACAAACGTTCAGTCCTATATTTTATGGTAAGAAACTTTTTCAACAGTATGCTGTTGATGCATATGTCAAGATTGAAGGACAGCGCCTTGCTTTTATCAGAAATAACCAAAACAAACTTAGAAGTGAACAATACGATACATTACATGAGTATGTAAATAATGTTGCAAATAACCTTAATGTAAGACCGGGTCGTGTTGTTATACTACCATCCTCATATGTTGGAAGTCCAAGAGCTTTAAAAGAAAATTTTGAAGATGCAATGGCAATTATAAAGAAATATGGTAAACCAGATCTTTTTATTACTTTTACCTGTAATTCAAAATGGAGAGAAATTACAGAAAATTTAAATCCAGGTGAGAGCGCAACTGACAGGCCTGATTTAGTTTGTCGCGTATTTAAGATGAAACTTAAATGCTTCTTAGGTGATATTTTTAAACATGGAGTCTTAGGCAAAGTTGTAAGTCATGTACAGGTTATTGAGTTTCAAAAACGTGGTTTGCCACATGTGCATATTTTATTACACTTTGTAAACGATGATAAGCTAGAAACAGCAGAGGATATTGATAGTTTAATATCAGCTGAAATTCCAGATCAAACTGTTGATCCTGAACTTTTTGAAATTGTAAAAACATGTATGATTCATGGACCATGTGGGATTTTAAATCCCAATTCTCCTTGCATGAAAGATGGAGTTTGCACAAAAAAATTTCCTAAAGAGTTTAATCCTTGCACTGTTGCAATTTTCAATGGTTATCCTAACTACAGGCGTTTAGATAATGGTAGAGTAGTCATTATAAAAGGTAACCAAGTTGATAATCGATGGGTCGTACCCTATAACCCCTGGTTATCAAAAAAATACCAAGCCCACATTAATGTTGAAGCTTGCATGTCTATTAAGTCAGTGAAGTATTTATACAAATATGTCTATAAGGGGCATGATTGTGCGAATGTGGTAATTAATGAAAGTGTTGACCATGATGAAATTAACACATATTTAGACTGTCGCTTTGTTTCCGCCCCAGAGGCTCTTTGGCGAATATATGAGTATTCCATAAGTGATATGTCACATACTATTATCCGCCTTCAAATCCACCTTCCTGATAATCAGAGAGTATATTTTAACGAAGGAGAAGAACAAGTAGCTATAGATCGTGCAGCACAGCGTGACACTCACCTAACCGCTTGGTTTAAGTTAAATGCTGAAAATAATGAAGCACGTCAGTATTCTTATGTTGAAATTCCATATCACTTTGTTTTTGGTAAAAATTGCATGTGGAAAGTAAGACAAAGAGGTAGTGATAAGGTGGTTGTTCGAATGTATAAAGTCAGTTCATTTTGCGAATTATTTTTTCTCAGGTTGTTACTTTTGCATGTAAAAGGTGCAAAGTCTTTCGAGGATTTGCGTACTGTTCATGGTACTGTTTTTAATACATTTCGTGAAGCATGTTATCATTTAGGTTTATTGCAAGATGACATTGAGTGGAGAAATACATTAATTGAAGCTGCTGCAACTCGGATGCCTAAACAAATTAGGCTACTGTTTTGCATCATATTAACTTTATGTGAACCTGATGATCCTTTACACCTTTGGAATACATTTAAAAATTATATGGTTGAGGATTACATACACCATTCAATGCCAGTCGTACTTGCTGAGCAGGCAGCTCTTCGTCAAATTGAATCTATAATTAATCAGAGTGGTAAAACCTTAGCTGATTATAATTTGCCAGCTTTAGATCAGTTTTTAGATAATGTCCCAGAAAATGATGATGAAGATGTTCAGGTGTTTATTGATGAAGCAAACCGAGTTAGACCATTATTGAATGATAATCAACGTAATGTAGCTGATGCGATCCTTGCTGCACTAAGTGTGGAACCTACTAATGAAAATAAGCATTCAAGGTTGTTTTTTATGGATGGGCCTGCCGGTTGTGGTAAAACATTTACTTACAACTATTTAATTTCTGAAACACAGAGCAGGCATATTAGAACTGCAACAGCTGCATGGACAGGAATAGCTGCAACTCTTCTCAAAAATGGGTGCACAATGCATGGCTTATTCAAACTTCCTGTTCCAATTTTGGAAACTAGCACATGTAATGTAACTCCAAACTCTATTCATGGTAGATTCCTGAGACAAATCAGTTTGTATTTACTTGATGAAGCATCTATGATACCCAAATATGCTTTGAGTGCCATTGATTAGCTATTACAAGATATTTGTAATAACAACTTTCCTTTTGGTGGTAAGGTTATTCTTATGGGTGGAGACTTCAGACAAATACTTCCAGTTGTGAAGCGAGGTCGACCAGCAGAAGTTATAGAATCATGTTTAAAATGTTCTGAACATTGGCAATATGTGCAAAGGTTCTCATTAACTGTAAACATGAGGGTTCAGATAGAAGAAGAGGAATTTTCTCAATGGCTTTTAAAGCTTGGAAGTGGAACATTACCTGTCAAGCCTGAAGATCCTTTGCGAGGGTGTATTGAAATACCTGAGCAGTGCTTTCTCAGTGATAATGAATCTATTGTGGAGAAGATTTTCGGTGGTGCAGAAGAAGGTGATTATGCAAAACGTGCTATTTTAACGCCAACAAATGTTGATTCATTGGCAATAAATGAAGAAGTCCTTCATCGCTTACCCGGTGATGTGAAAACATATTTAAGTTCAGATAGCATTGATACTGATGATCTTAATGAAATTAATAATTTTCCAGTCGAGTTTTTAAATAGTTTGACTCCATCAGGTATGCCTGTTCATTGCCTAAAATTAAAAATTGGTGCTGTTATAATGCTACTTAGAAATTTAGATCTCAAAGGTGGACTTTGTAATGGAACCCGTTTGATGGTGCGTGCATTACACAACAATTATATTGATGGTGAGGTTTTAATAGGTGTATCAGCTGGTAACAGGGTATTTGTTCCTCGAGTTCAATTAGCTCCATCAGATGCAAATTTACCTTTTACACTTAAACGCCGTCAGTTTCCAGTTAGGTTAGCATACTCAATGACCATAAATAAAAGTCAAGGTCAAACATTTGAAAAAGTTGGTGTTTATCTCAAAAAACCTTGCTTTTCACACGGCCAATTATATGTTGCATGTTCAAGAACAAGATCATTTAATAGTTTGTTTTTCAAAGTTGATAAACATCCATTACAAGGTACGTCATTTAACAAACATTACACAAATAATGTTGTCTTTACAAATGTTCTTAATTTATAATTTTGACAAGTATATTATGTGTTATATGTGTTTTATATTTTTTGTATGTTTTTTTTTTTTTTTTTTTGCTATATGTGTATATAAATGAATGTGTTTATATGCGTTTATATATCTTTATTTATATTTATGTGCTTAAGTTTATACAAGTTTATATTAAGTTGTTTCCATGTGAAAAGTGGTGTTACTTGGCAACGTGTAGTGCAAGATTGTGATTCTTGCTAGCCAAGCGGTGTTACTAATTAGTGGTGTTACTTGGCACTTAATGCCAAGCGGTGTTACTAAATTGTGGTGTTACTTGGCAGCGTTTAGTGCCAAGCGGTGTTACAAGTGTTGAGCTAGGTTGTGTTGTCTAGCTTTTTTAATTATTCTGGAAACACATAATCTGAATATTTTGTGTTATGTGCAAATGTGTTATGTACAAATATTTGATGCTATGTGTATTCAGTAGCATAGGCAGGGTCTTTTGATGCTTCAGATAGCATTTTCAACCAAACTTAAGTGTATTCACGTTTATAGAATTAAAATACTTTGCAAAAAATTGATGTTTTTAAAGCTTAGGAACAAATGTTTAAAAAAAGTGTTTTTCTTAACCTGAATTTTTTTAGACATAACAAAGTTAAACTCTTCAACAGCTTCTAAATATATATCTGAAACAACAAAAATCCTGCCTACACTACTGGTGTTATTGTTTGTCATCCTGTAATGTTGTTGTGATGTTTTGTGTTGATAGACAGCTTGGCTTACCTTCACGTTGGTGTCTATCGTTAAAAATGATTATTGGGTAGCTTCATTACTGAAACTTACTCCTAATCATTCACTAAAAGCCAAGAAATATTTTAAGAAAAAATGCCTAATTTTTTTGTGTCAGTAAGAATTTTTATCTTTAGCAATGCTGATAAAACTGAATTTTTTTAAAAAAAGAGTTATTCCAGCCTTCCAACCAAATATTAGAGACTTTTAAAAAAGCACTCTCACAAAGTAAGTGTCTAATCTTCTATATAATATTGCCGAACTAATTTTTACTAAATTTTGGTTCGTATTTTTCATTTCTCAAATGAATTAACATAAAACAAATAAATGTGCATTCAGTGTTATCAATAATGATTTTATTTCATTTTTAGATAATGCTTTTATAATCAATTTAAAAGTCTTTCAAATCGTTAACCATTTTCTAAAGGCGAAGAAGAAGAATCATCAATCTTCATACCATTTAATAAAGCTATTTTAATAAAACGCAATACAAATTGTTGTAAATTAGTATTTGAATAATTTTCACGTTGTTACCTTATTTTGCAGTTTCCTATCACTTTGTATTGAATTAACTAAATCCAATATTACAGTTCCTTTTATCAAGTACTTCACATTTTCTGTTTTTGTTTTATGCAGAAAAACAGATCAAATTAATTTATTTGACTTGCCTAGCTACTTATTTTACAGGCCTAGCCACAGTGAGTGTGCATAAATCAACAGAGGATTTGGGTTTGGGCAGGTTGTCTTGAACTAAATGATTTACCTTCTTCATGTTAAGCTCTAAATATAAATATACGGAAAAGGTGCATATGTGAATTTTTTTTTTCTAGCACATAATCTATTGTTCACTAAATAATATTTGAGGGAGAAATAGAGATAAGGTTAATGTGGAATAGAGTTTGTCTTTTTAAGTGAAAAACTATTTTATAATCTATCTATCTTCTTCTATATAATATTGCCGAACTTAATAGTAGTGTTAGTAGAAAGAGTCACAGCACTTTTTTTAGAAGAAAACGTGTATGCAAATATCTAACGTACGTAATTAAGTAATGATAAAACATACTGAAACATTTTTCAAGTTTTATAGTTTGACTTTGACTTAAAAATTGCATTGCGTCAACCTCTCCTTAATTTTTGATCTACAGCAATTCCGTTAAAAACAATTTTTATATATTTTTAAAATTTCGATATTTGATGTGTCAGCATGGCCGAGTGGTTAGCGCGCTAAGCTTCTGAACGTAATAGTCGTGGTTCAAATTTACCACCAGCGATTTTTTTCTTTAAATTACAAAATATTTGTGAAGTTAAATAAGTTAAATGTTATACACTTTAACCGTTTTTTCTTTTTATATTTTATATATTTTTTGGATTTCTAAAAACACCAATAAACGGGGCGAAAATTTGTTGCGTGTGTGTCACGATTTTGATACTGTTCTCACATAATTGGTCCTAATAAGCTACGGATAGTCTTAAAAAAAAAGGTCCTAAAACCTAATAAAAAAAAAAATTGATAAAACCGTCCTGCTACTCCACATGGTATTGCAGTCGAGGCAGGGAAAAAAAAAAGCAATTAAAAGGTTTTTTGTTATATTTAATTTTTTGCTATAAATATAGCCAGATTAAAAAAAATGTATTGAGATTTTTTAGGCGCGGATTTGAAGCCTTGCACAGCGAATCTGATGACTGCGCACTTAACTTGTGAGCTATCAAAGTTATGCATGTAGTTAGGCGCTTCAACATTTTTTTAAAAATGTAAAATGAAAACAAAATAAATACCATAAGTAAGAGCTAAATAATAACGTTTAAAAATTACCAAACTTTTTGTTATAATATTATTAATTCTTCAACTTTTAAACCACAAAATTTATAATTTATTTTTTTGCATGACTTTTGACGCTTTAAGCGACTAACGTTTTAAAGAATTGCATTACCGTTTCCGTCTAATACAAAGATAACTATAAAAGACCGTTATTATTCAAAACTAAGCATATAATAATAATAAATATAGTAAACTATTGAATATGGCTAGGACGCGACCATAAACCATGGTCCATGGCTGGTCTAAATGTAGAAAGTAGTTTAGTTCAGAATTTTTTTTAAAAAAAATAAATAAACGGGGTTTAATAAGCTATATAGGTATGCGGAAAAAGTGCGTATGTTAAAGTTTTTTTTTGCTCTCAAAGCAAATTTTTTTGATGAATTTTTTTCCACCGTTTACTAAAAAATATTGAAGTAAATAAGGAACAAGTAAAGAAATGATTGGCGTGGAATAAATAAATATAGAAGTAGAAGAAAAGACCTGTATTTACCGATACGGACAGCTAGATTAAGAAAATAAGGGAAAAGGTTTGTGTGGAATAGAATTACAAAGACCCGTATTTTTACGGGTCAATCCAGCTAGTAATAAATATTGCATTTACAAATTGCTTTATTATTGTAAAATAATATAATCTCATACAAGTTCTACGTACCATACAATTTAATTAAGATGTTGCGTCAATTTATAAGACATTAACTTTAAATCAAAAGTTTTTAATCATAGGATAGTAATTGCATTGTATCAAAATCAAATAAGTGTTACTTTGTTGCAAATAAGTGTTACTTTGTTGCAAATAAGTGTTACTTTGTTGCAAATAAGTGTTACTTTGTTGCAAATAAGTGTTACTTTGTTGCAAGTTTAAAATGTTGAAATAAATTTAAAGTTTTTATATTACTAATTAAAAGCAAGTTCCATAATCGCGGTCTTGGGCAAGATATCGAAAAATCAGCTTGTTTTGATAACATTTTTGGTATAATAAAATTATTTGTTGAGTATTTAGTTTCGTATTTGTGGTTTTAAAGAAAAAAAAGTAAGTCTGGAAAATGCTTGGTAGCATACCATTTTTAAACTTAAACATAAAAATAAGTATATTAAGAATATTTATTTGATAGACATTAGGAAGTCCTAATTCTCTTAGTAGTGGTCTGACACTAGCGTATTTATTTGCATTTAATATCAAGTGACTTGCTCGTTTTTGTATTTTGTAGATCATATTTAACTCTGAAGGGTAAATACTTGCCCAGATAATGTTGCAGTAGCTGATGTAGCTATGAATAAATGCAAAATAAATATTTTTTCAACAATTATTGTTCAGGAGATGTTTTGTTTTATACAAAATACCAACAATTTCATATATTTCATTTTCTATTACTTTGATATGATTATTCCAGCTAATATGTTCATTTAGTATTACGCCTAAAAATTTGATTGAGTATTATCGTTTAAGTTTAGTTTTGTCAATTAGTAAATCAGGTAGTTTTATGGGGAGGGTTTCAGATTTTGATAACTTTGTAAAAGAATATATTTACTTTTTTCGACATTTAAAGTGAGTTTGTTATCCTTAAACCATTCTTTCAGGTTTGCAAGTTCTTGATTATCAGTGTTAAATATCCAGTGGGCACCGGACCAAAAAAAGACGTCTTTTGAACGTTTAAAAAACGTCCAAAACGTTTAAAAGGCGTTCAAAAGACGTCAAAACGTGTATAAGACGTTTAAAAGACGTAATTTTTTTGTCCGTGTCCACTGGGTAATAGACTAATGTTTGTGTGGCTAAAGAATACATGCGTATTATCAGCAAAAAAGACAAAATTAAAGATGTTAGAAGATAAGTAGATATCGTTAATATAAACGAGGAATAACAATGGACCAAGAATTGATCTTTGTGAGACCCCACAAGTAATGTTTTCAAATCGAGTTATAGTGATCCCAGTGGGCACCGGACCAAAAAAAGACGTCTTTTGAACGTTCAAAAGACGTCCAAAACGTTCAAAAGACGTTCAAAAGACGTCTAAAACGTGTATAAGACGTTTAAAAGACGTCTTTTTTACGTCCGTGCCCACTGGGATGTTATATTATAAAGCTTGTTTTTGATTATTAAAGTAAGAGCGAAACCATTTTAAATTGTTGTTTCTTATTCCATAATTATACAGTTTATAAAGAAGAATTTCGTGGTCAACAGCGTCAAACGCTTTTGAGAGATCAAGAAATACCCCATGAGTGTATTTATTCATGTCAACCTATTTAAAATTTCATTGACAAGTTTGGCTACAGCGTGTTCTGTTGAATAGTGTTTATAAAAGACTTATTGGTTATAATTTAGCAGGTGGTGGTTAACTAGATAATTAATTAGCCTATTGTGCATTATTCGCTCTAATTTTTTTGAAATGCATGACAAAATAGAAATAGGCCTGTAGTTAAAAGCAATAGAATCATCTCCGTTTTTAAATATAGGAACAACCTTTGCTAACTTTAGCTTGTCAGGGAACACCCCATCTTTTAAAGACAGATAACAGATATGCAGGTGGGGATATTCAATAATATCGTAGACATTTTTTACAAAGTTCACGCTATGGTCATCTAGTACTGGACTTTTTTTTTGTTATAAGGTATTAAATGCATTTTTAAGCTAATTCGGAGTTATTACAAGCTCTTTCATGACTGAGTCTTTTTTTCCTAGATACGATTTATAACATATTTTTACAGGAGTTGTTTGGAATTATTCCCGCAAAAAATTCGCTAGCATCTCATTTGAACCAGTTTTTACATATAACTTTATCACTGGTTGTAAAGAAACAAAAATCTTTCATCAAAGATGACTGGGATTTCCTCAAAAAAATTCCAAGAGGGTTCGAATCAAAAAGTCGTATAATGACATGCGACATTGTTTTTTTTTATACAAGCATTTCACATTATCTTGGTAAAGGATCCCTAAAATTCTGGATGTTTAAATATAAAGAATAGATAAAAGATTTATTCCTGAATTCATAATTGAGTCAGCTTATTTTATTTTAAATAACAATAATTTCATAATTTCGATAAACATTTATTTCACCAAACTGGTACAACCATGGAAACAGATTTCACACCAAACTTTGCTTGCCTCACTACCGGCTTTTTAGAACAGACTAAGCTTTTTTTAATAATTCTACTCCAGTTTTTTTCCAACCGTGAAGTAGATGATATAGATAAACTATTATAGATAAAAAGTTTTTTGTAATAACAAAAAACAAACTATGAAACGGATCAAAAAATATCGTTGTTCGAAAGAAATCTAACAAAACGGGGAATACAGATGAAACACAAATTGCAACAAATGTTGTTCAAAATATTTTTCATGAAATGTTTTTAAAACAGCATAAAGATATATTATAACGATAAAATAAACGAGAAACTGATGAAATACATAAATCAAAACAAATTTGCTACAAATTAAAAAAAACAAAACCGAAAAGGTAAACATTAAACTTAGAGAAATTACAGAGAGAGTAAGATTCTTAGAAAAGACAAATAAAGATATCGAAGAAAACTTAACAATTACACAAGACACCCTAGAAAAAGAGGTATGCGAATTAGAAAAGAAAATTAAAAACAAAAATAGTATAGGCGAGGAGGAAAATAATGAACTGCGACAGCTAGAAGATAGACTCAGAAGGAGTATTATTATTATTTTTTTTTTTCAGTAAAATAATAATTTAACAGTTTATAAAAAATACCCTATTCAATGAATGAAGATAATGATACACTTAACTTAAAATTTAATTCTTAACAAAATAAAAGTAGGATACTTCTATATAACCATTCTGACTAGGATATTAATTTTTATAGTAATAACAAAGTATTTCAAAATATTAATACTTTATAATTTGACCCTACATCTGAAAACATAATAAAAGGACTAGATGTAAATTAGTTTTCAATTTTGCATTTAAATATTAGGAGCTTTTCATAAAACTTTGAATTATTTAAACAAATTTTATGCAAGGTTAAATTTAATTTTAAAATTATTATTTTCAGCGTGACATAGTGTAATTTTTTTTTTTTTTTTTTTTTTTATGTTGATTTAGGTGCCCCAAGAAGTCCTTACGGTCTTATCGCAGAGCACCGCGGAAGAGCATTTATTAGGAAGTTCACGCCTCCTTCCTAACCGATGTCGCAAAACTTGCCAAGAGGTGGGTTTGAACCGCGGATCTTACGTTCCTGAGGCAAGTGCGCTACCACAGCGCCACGGCTGCTTATGCTAATGATGAACATATAGAGACAATTACAAATTTTCAGATACCAAATTATAAAGTCATTCATCAATTTAAAGGATTTGGAAATTTTATTTAGGTATCAAAGAAAGGAGGGAGTTTGTGTATATTTATAAGTAATTCTTTGGTAAACAAGCTAAAAAAAGATTTTTGCTCCACCGCTAATTATTGTGAATCACCATGTGTGGAAATAATAAATAAAACTACAGAAAAAATTATTATCCACATTTTATACAGACGACCTTTCGGCTCAATAAAACAATTCGAGAAGCACATTAAAAACATATTTAAAAATAGATTAATCGAAAATAAAAGCATTTTTTATACAGTTGATTTTAACCTTGACCTGAACAAGAGTCATTTAAAAACAAATATAAATAACTTCTTTAGCGTCATATATCAGAAAGGAATTATTCCACTAATTAAAAAAGCCACAAGATTACCTAGAAAAGCGCAACAACCATAGATCATATAGTCACCAATGAATTAAAATCAAAAATAAAAATAGTATCATTTAAATGCGACATTTCAGATCACCTCCTTGTATTTCTTATCTCACAAAAATGTGATAACATTTATGCACAAAATGCTAAAAAAAATACGCGATATATAAAAGAAAAGTCCATGGAAAATTTTAATACTCTTTTATCAGATTTAAATTGGGATGACCTCCTTCATATTGAACACGTGACCTCCTTCATATTGAACACGTGACCTCCTTCATATTGAACACGTAGATAAGGCATACGATAAGTTTATTGATAAATTACAACAACTATACAATTCTGCTTTTCCTGTAGTTACAACATATATGAAAAAAAAAACATTAAATCCATGGATAACGACTGGAATTATAAAGTCGTCGAAAAAAAAGCAACAACTTTATAATAAGTTTCTCAAAGAAAAAACTTTTAATAATAAAACTAGTCACAAAAATTATAAACGTATTTTTGAGATGGTTATCAAAAAGTCAAAAAAATATTACTATACTGAGCATTTAATAAAACATAAAAATAATCGAAAAAAAACTTGGGACATAATTAGGAAAGTAATTGGCACGAAACAAAATGACGGAAAGAGTCTTCATATAAATCTAAATATTAAAAACAAAACTATTACAAATAAATCTTTAATTGCTGAAACACTTAATCAATATTTTGTCACTGTAGGTTTTACTTTAGCGTTGAAAATAGAAACTACTGAAGTAAACTTTGAGTCATATCTTATTCCTAATAAGACCTCTAAGATGGATAATTATGAAATTACTGAAAAGAAACTCTTAGATGCAGTATATTTTTTAAAACTAAGTAAAAGTGTGGGGTTTGATATTATTAGTAGTGATGTAATTAAAAAATCGATAAAATACTTAACAATCCCTCTTTTACATATTATATCTCTCTTTAAAACAAGGCATTTATCTAAAAATTGCGAAGGTCTTACCTTTTTTCAATTCAGGAGACATTTTTAATCCTGAAAATTACAAACAAATTTTAATTCTTCCTTGGTTCTCCACAAATTTTGAGCGAATTATGTACAACTGAATTTTAACCTTTCTAAATATAAATAATATTCTGTATAACAAACTATTAGGATTTTAACCAGGGTATTCAACTGACCATGTCATTATTAATATTGTTCACGATATATTTAAAGCATTTGATAAAAGTAAATTTACCCAGGAGTTTTTATAAATCTTAGCAAAGCCTTTGATGCAGTAGACCATAGCATTCTTATAAAAAAACTCAAAAGTTATGGTATTCAAAGTACATTTAGAATGGCTCAAAATTTATCTAAACAATAGAAAACAATACATAGCACCCGAAGATGGAAAAACTGAATACTTGACTATTACTTGCGGTGTTCCCCAAGGCTCAATTCTGGGTCCACTTTTATTTCTTATTTATGTAAACGATTTCCATAAGTTTTCAAACATTTTAAACTCAGTTTTATTTGCAGATGATACAAATTTATTTTATTCTAATAGAGATCTCAACCTCTTATTTAAAATAGTAAACAAGGAATTTTTAAATCTAGCGGAATGGTTTAAGGCAGACAAATTGTCCTTAAATTTGAATAAAACCTAGATATACTTTTTTTCAAAGACTTTACAATAAAGAAAATATTCCATTAAATCTTCCTAATCTTTATATTAGCAACTCTAAATTAATTAGAGAGTAATCATAAAAGTTTTTTAGGAGTAATACTTGACGAAAACCTGATATGGAGAGAACACATAAGAACGATTGAAAATAAAATTTCAATTAGTATTGGCATACTATACAAAGCTAAGCAAATCTTAAACAAAAACTGCTTAAAAATCTAATTTTTTTCCCTCATACATTGTTATTTAAACTATGCAAATACCCAGCTAGCACACATACGTTGTACACACATATATTAGAACAATGTCGTGCGTTTCGTTTGCCCAACATCGGCTGGCAAAGTTTCTTTCAAGTATTTTTCATATCATTATGATTAGAAATGCGACGTCGCCTACAACTAAAAATCAATGTTGAAAAAACGTTTTATTAAAGCCGAAAATTAATTATATTTTTTACGTTGATTCAACGTTTAATTTTATACGTTGGCTTAACGTTGTATTTACGTTGATTCAACGTTGAATTTGAATTGGCAAAACGTTGTATTCAATACAATTCGATTTTAAATTTTCATTAAATTCTATTATCTTCAAATATATATATATATATATATATATATATATATATATATATATATATATATATATATATATATATATATATATATATATATATATATATATATATTCATTCATAGCTATATGAATTATGCAAATATTGCTTGGGCAAGCACTGAAAAAAGTAAGTTACAATCTCTCTATCGCCGTCAGAAACTTGCAATACGTGTAATTAATTTTGCTGATCGTTTTTCTCACTCTAAACATCTTTTTTCTGAAATGAGAATACTTAATATAAATGTATATATATATATATATCTATATATATATATATATCTATATATATATCTATATATATATCTATATATATATATATATATATATATATATATATATATATATATATATATATATATATATATATATATATATATATATATATATATATATATATATATATATATATATGTATATATATGTATAAGTATATATATATATATATATATATATATATATATATATATATGTATGTATGTGTGTGTATTAGCACACATACATACATATTTACAAGTTTTAAATTTAATTTTAAAAAACGTTTAAGCTGTTCTAATAATTTTTTTTTTTTTTATGTTGATTTAGGTGCCCCAAGAAGTCCTTACGGTATTATCACAGAGCACCGCGGAAGAGCATTTAGTAGGAAGTTCACGCCTCCTTCCTAACTGATGTCGCAAAACTTGGGTTTGAACCGCGGATTACTAACGTTTCTGAGGCAAGTGCGCTACCACTGCGCCACGGCTGCTTGTTTTTAAATATGCTTTACTTTTTTTTCCTGTTTTTTTTTTTTAGCTCTAAAAATCCAAGAATGCATCACATGCTTATTAAAGAATTGATTGACGATAATCTTTATTTCTTTTTCTCGTTGTAAATAATTGTTTTAATTGGATTGTTTAAAAAATTTATAAATGTTTTATATTTAAAAAGATACAACTTAAAAAAAAGCACGCTTAAGTAAATTTACTAAACTTCTATTTTTATATGTAAACATGAAAGTGTGCTGTAAAAGATCACTAGAAGTTCACTTAAAAGGTTTACTGGAAGATCACTGAGTTTTAAAACAACGTCTTCGAAAGTAGACTTGAAAAGATCACTGGAAGTTTACTGGATTTTCAAACAAGTTCAATGGAAGTTCTTTGGAAATGATCAATGGAAGATCACTGGGTTTTAAAACATTTTTTCACTGGTATTTCACTGATTTTTTTTTTTAAGGGTAATCAGGAAATAGGTACAAAAAAAAAACACCTTGCAACTTCATGCACACAATGAAATTACACTTTCACATACATTTATATATAATTATTTTTTTCTTAAAAACTTTATTTGAATTCGTTGACTATTATAACAAAATAATTTCTATTATTCACAAATATTTTTTCAAATTTCTATCGATTTATACTTTAAAATTTAGCAGCGCGTTTTTCTGGAAAACCTTTTTAAATTGTAACGCATTAAAATATTTTTTTTTTAGTTCGTATTATATAAATAGTAATTATGACAATACCATATAAAATTTTTAAAAAAACTGTTCAGCTTTAAGAAGGTGTGTTAAAACTATTCAATGAATATTATCTCAAGTTTACATGTAAATCGTAGTAACTTGGAGGAGGCTCATCAGTGTGATTATTAAATGGTGTGCACATTTGCAATGTAGTTTCATACGGAGGTGGTGGTTCGTTGACGTAAGATATGTTATATACTCCTATCTGATTGTTAGGATCAACTTGGGTTGGAACTTGATCTCGAACTGTATTAAGAGTTTCCGATGTCGTTTGCACATTGCCGGGTTGCATTCTAATACAAATTAAGTTTTATTAAAAAAAAAATAAGAAAATAAAATAAAAAATATTAGCTTTACATTCAATACTTACCATTGCTAAAACCGACCTTTATAGATTTTAGAATGCAGAGGGCCTTCAGGAGGTCAGATTTTAAATAAATATTGTTAAACTTAATTTTTTCAATTAGAAACTGAAAACGTTTAATAATAATAGATACAAAATATATTGTTAAATTATAAAGAAAAACCAAAAATGTATTCTAAAAGAAAACTTATAATCAACAAGTCTTATTAAATGATCTTCTCGCCATCACAAACCTTTCTTAAAAGAAGTATAAGTGGTTAAGTCTTTTTTTTTAAAAAAAAAAGATGCGTGCAAAGAATAAACTTAGTATATTAAAATGCTTATTTAAAAACTATATAACAAACATAAGTTATTGTTTTTACAAACTTTTTTTAAAAATAAAATTAATAAACTTAAAAAATATATAATGAATATATATATAAAAAATAGACCTATGTAAAATAAAATAGAAATGCACCGAATACAAAAAACTAAATTGCTTTCTGGAAGATTAAAGGTATAAGAATTAAATCTTCAACACTATCTTCATTATGTCAGAAAAAAATTTGATCATTATTGGTCTTAAGCCTGTTTTTTCTAGTCATGATAGTTTACTTCATGATGTAAAAAATGATCGTAACACAAACATACACGAAGCTTAGTTTGAAGCGCACATAAAATCTTAGTTGCATCACAAACAAACTTCCTTGCGTTTACATATTGCCTTAAGAGTCATTTTTTGTAAGAATTAGGCAATTTCCTGAAATTTTCAAAGTGACCTCCTCCAAATTGCTTGAATTTCTTGTATATTAATCAGATTATAGAGAAAACCTGTTGGGTAAAAAGAAAATTTCAAAAATGTTTCCTTTAATCGAAATCTGGGCTTAAATTTGTGAGATTTTTTTAAAAAGTTTTAGAAATTTAGTTTTTGCCACCTTTGAACCCATTTTTTTGGCAAGGCAAAAAGTTGCACATTTGTAGTTAATATCAGACGTAACCCAAAATATAAAATAATTGCGTGGCACTATGCGGTTGGCTATTATCATAGTTCAAAAGAACAAAATCAATCACTTTTTTCAATTTTTAATGAGAGTTATTTCTAGTGGCGAAGTGGTGCATACAATTTTTCTTTTAGGATTTAAAAGTATCATAGGTATTGAGTTTAAAAATGCAAAAAAAGTTGTGTGATACCTATAGCCTATTCATAAATTAAGGCTTGAAATTGTAAAAAAAATGTTATAGTATACTTACAAAATGAGCCATTACGGCAGAGACGCTAAGTTTTGTAAAAATGTAAACATATCTAACTGTCAATACAACGTGGTCCTAACATAATAATAAAAAAAACTTGTGTGATTTTGTCACACGTAATCATATAACATAAATTAAAAGCTGAACAAAAACCGAACATCAAGAAACTATATTGCTAATTCAATAAAACATAAGTTAAATATTTAAATGTATTTCCATTTAAAAATTAGTTTTTCATTTATTAATAAACTCATTAACGTACATGATCCACCATATCATACATATGTTTTACTCTGCTGCAATAAGTTTCTCTAAGAATAATGATATGACTGTTATAGTCTTCTTCTAAGATAATTAATCTAAAATTTTATAAGTTTCAATTTATTAAAACATATAAACTTATTTTTTGTAATAAATATTATATATAATTAAAATAAGTTATTAAAATAAAAATTTTAGATTAATTCTTCGGATTATAGTCTTCTTCGGATAATGAATAATCGCCACAACCACTGCTTAGAAAAGGAGCATTTACTAAAAAGATAATTTTTTCATTTTGGTTATTTATCTCCTCGGGAGTAACTAGCCAGCGAAAAGTATTCCTATCTTTCCAGTTAATCATACAATTAACGCAACATTTTAAAATAATATTTAAAAGAGTTTATGACTTGATTAATTTTGTTTACATTCTGTAAAACTTATAAAGTCTGATATAATGTCATTTTCAAATTATTTTTGCATTTTGTTTATATTGCTTTTTTTTTAGAGCACTGTTTTATTAAACAAAATAAAAACTTGAAACTAATATATGCTTTGAATAATAATATCTCTACAATATATCCAATATTCATTGTTTTTCGTATGCAACAGCAACCCAATCATTCACTTTCTATACAAGACAAATTTCTTTTGCAAGATCGACGATGTCTTCCTCATATTTATATCATCTTCATTGTCTTCTGTCGGATTAAAGTCATTGTTTTCTCCATAAACTTTTTTGTTATCGTTAATCTGACTATTTTCATCATTTTTTGTTGTCGGTTCTACCAGCATACCTTTTCTTTTCAGGTTACTAAATCTACAACAATATCAATTGTTCATATTTTTAAACATATGTAAACAAACACACAAAATTACAACTTCCACCTAAATTTTAATTTCATATTTGTAAAAGAACTATTTAACAGTCAGAAACATAATCTAATTTGTAAAAGTTTTAATAGAAACAATGCCTACCTTGAAAATAAAGATCTTATCTGTTGGCTAGTTACATATTGATCATGCGGAAGATCTCTTCTCAGCTGCATGTGAACCTGCTCAGGGTTTCATTTTGTTACCTGATTCTTCTCCACGAATAAAGTGTTTATACAACTTTCTATTGATTTGAAAATCTAAAAGAACTTCGAACTGGTAATGCCCAACCTTGCAATAGAAAAATGTTCATTTAATGTGGTTTGTCTTTTACGGAAACACTGTTAGAGGATGAAGAAATCGGCATATTTAGTGAAGTAATTTTTATCTTATGAACAAACAAGTTGCGAACTTTATTTCATGATGTTAATGATATCGGAACTGTATGAAGACGGGATAGCATGTGTTCTTCTAACTCAGCATTGCTTTCAAATGATAAGACATTATTCATTTTAATCAAAATCTTAATGAACATAATTGCCTGTCACTTCTTTTCTGTTTTTTTTTTTAAGTGACTTAAAACGTTTAATTGAATTATATGTTTTGCTTTATGGCAACAACAACTTAATCGAGGGTTGACTTTTAAGATTAACTTATATTTATTCAATTCCATCATTGAATCAAAATAGCCTTATTTATATCTTCAGCAGTCAAAAGATTATTACCAGAGTCAACGTAACTCCTTAAGATTGTCTTAGCAACAGCACTGTCACATTGATCTTTTCCCCAACAGCGTTCATTATAATCGTATCTCAGCAATTTAATATATCTCTCTTTGCATACATTGTAGATTGCTTCAGCTGAAAGATTTCCCTGATAGCAGCCAGCATTGTCAGGTTTGGTAAACATCTTTCTGATCACACCTATACATTGAAGTAAGGTAAACACGTTTGATAAACTTTCCTGCAAATTTTATGAAGAATATATCCACATATAAATTTATTCCTTTCTTACCAAAATACTCTCTTTGGCCTTCTCTGTATCAAACCGGAAGAATTTTTTGACAAAAATCTTTAAGCCAGAAAACAGTTTCATCGTTAAATTGATTAGATGCTTCGATTTTTGCTTTTATTTGTTAAGAATCTCTCATCAGGTGTTTTATGTAGTCGAATACATCCTTTACAGCAATTTCTAAATCATAAATAGAATCAGCATCGTAAGAATTTTGAAATGCTAGTTCTTTGATCATCTTGACAGCTTTACACAAATCATAGCAATCAACTAAAAACAAGTTTAATTTATGCATCCCCTATTACTTAATAGCAATGATAAAATATCTACTCTATTTATGCAAATATAAAGATCGTTAAAATAAAGTTCGGACATTTTTGTAGTTAAAATAAATTGTTTTATGACAACCGCCCACTAATTAGTTTCTTCACAATTGTGATATCGGCGATTCTTTATTCCAATCAATCACCACAAGTTGTTTGGTTATGATGTAAATTTAAATAATTCACTTCTGATCATATATTGTTTTTTATTTTTATTTATTCCAATTGTTACGATTTCTAAATCATAGTCAGAAACGCCTTAATTTTTTGTTAACATTACGTGCAATGTTTTTTGAATTGCTAATTGCTAATTTTGGATGATAGAAATTTTATTGTGAGCGAAAACCGACCCGAATCCCTCATCTGTGTGTCCCAAAAAATATCTCTTTGTACTTAATCATTTTCAACACTTTTTACTTTTAATTTTAACTTAATATCTAAAGATAACATGAATTTTTTTAACTATGTTAGGGTCATGTGATATTGACCATTTAACATGATTATATTTTTACAAAACTTAGCGCCCCTGCCGTAATGGCTCATTTTGCAAGTATACTATAACATTTTTTTTCAATTTCAAGCCTTAATATATGAATAGGCCATAGGTATAACATAACTTTTTTTGCATTTTTAAACTCAATACCTATGATACTTTCAAATCCTTAAAGAAAAATCGTGTGCAAAACTTTGTCGCTAAAAATAACTCACGTTAAAATTTGAAAAAAAGTGATTATTTTTGTACTTTTGAGCTATGATAATTAGCCAACTACTAAATTCAAGAAATTTGGATGAGGTCGCTTTTAAAGTTTCAGGAATTTACCAGATTTTTTGAAAAAACGTCTCTTACACTGCTGCTGCAGCATAATTTTTTTTTCTTTTTTAGAAAACCATTTTTTTGTTTTTTCTTTGTTTGCTGAAACTGCAACCGATATTTTTATCTATTTAACACCAAATTTTTCACTTAAAATACCAACCTTTTCACATTTACATTTAGTTGCTAGTTTTAATTTTTTTCAGGCCATAACCTAATAAGCATATACCTGAAGTCTTTAGTACTGGGTGTTTTGAATGGAAAGAAGTGCTAAAATACAGGTTTAGCACTTTTTGTATTTACAACATTTTCAATTTATTTGATCAAGTACCTAGATAATGTTTATTGTGAAAGGCGAAGTAATAAAAAGTCGAATATTTTTCAATTCTTTACTAAATTGCTTGAAGAATGAAATCAAATTGA